ATAAAAAAAATGGGAAAAAACATCATTCACATGGATCTCATAAGCAAGGGTTTCTATCATATCAAAGTGGGCTTCAAGCCAAAGTGAATCAAAATGGACCAAGAAGGTCATTTCATACTGCTTAAGGGAATTATGTGGCAACAATACATAACAATCATAAACATTTATGCCCCAAACAGTGAAGTACCTACATGTATCAAACAAATCCTTCTCAATTTCAAGAATCAAATTGACCACATCACAATAAGTGACTTTAGCACACCTCTCTCATCACTAGATCGAGTGATCTTTTGTCTTTTTAATGAACCATTATTACATTACCTCCATTGCTAGAGGGTTTTTAAAATTTTTTTATGTTATTTTTTAAAATTGATTTTAATTTTTAAATACATGACAGCAGAATGCATTATAATTCTTATTAAACATATAGAGCACAATTTCTCACATCTCTAGTTTATATAAAGTATATTCACACCAATTCATGTCTTCATACCTGTACTTTGGATAATAATGATCATCACATTCCACCATCATTAGTTATCCCATGCCCCCTCCCTTCCCCTCCAACTCCTCTGCCCTATCTAGAGTTTGTCTATTCCTCCCATGCTCCCTATCCCTATCCCACTATGTATCAGCCTCTTATATCAGAGAAATCATCCAGCATTTGTGTTTTGGGGATTGGCTAACTTCACTTAGCATTATCTTCTCCAACTGCATCCATTTACCTGCAAATGCTATGATTTTATTCACTTTTATTGCTGAGTAATATTTCATTGTGTGTATATATGCCACATTTCTTTGATCCACTCATCTACTGACGGGCATCTAGGATGGCTCCACAGTTTAGCTATTGTGAATTGTGCTGATATAAACATTGATGTGGCTGTGTCCCTGTAGTATGCTGTTTTTAAGTCCTTTTGGTATAGACCGAGGAGAAGAATAGCTGAGTCAAATGGTGGTTCCATTCTCAGTTTTCCAAGGAATACTGCTTTCCATATTGGCTGCACCAATTTGCCGTCCCACCAGCAATGTGTGAGTGTGCCTTTTTCCCTACATCCTCACCAACACTTATTGTTGTTTGTCTTCATAATAGCTGACATTCTTACTGGAGTGAGATGATAGCTTAGAGTAGTTTTGAGATTTTTAGCTGTACATGACAGTAGAGTCTATTTTGACATATTTACAAAAACATGGTCTATATCTTATTTTAATTAGGATCCCAGTCTTGTAGTTGTACATGATGTTGAGATTCACTGTGCTGTATTTATATATGTAATAGAAAATTTATGTCAGGTTTGTTTCAATGTCTTTCCTTTCCTCTCCTCCCTCCCTTCCCTTCATTCCCCTTTGTCTAAACCACTCCCCACCACCACCTTGTTGTATATTAGCCTCCACATATCAGAGAGACCATTCAACCTTTGGACTCTAGGGACTATATTATTTCACACAGCATAATAGTCTCCTCATCCTTCCATTTACCAGCAAATATGATAAAAATTCTTCTTCTTTATGGCTGAGTGATATTCCATTGGGTATATATATACCACATTCCCTTTATCTCTTCATCTGTTAAAGGACACCTACATTGGTTCCTTAGCTTAGCTATGGTGAAATCTGCCGCAATAAACATTGATGTGGCTGTGTCATTGTAGTATGCTGATATTTAAATATTTGGGGTATATTCTGAGGAATGAGAAATTGTATCAGATGGTGGTTCCATTCCTAGATTTTTTAGGAATCTCCATACTGCTTTCCAGAGTGGTTGCACCAGTTTGCAGTCCCACCATCAATGTATAAATGTACATCCTCACATCTTCACCAACATTTATTGTTACTTGTATTCTTGATAATTGCCATTCTAACTGGAGTGAAGTACAATCTCAGTATCATTCTATTTTGTATTTCTCTAATTTCTAGAGATGTTGAGCATTTTTTTCATATCATTGTTAGAGGTTTATTATTACATTTATTATAAGGAATGGTTTGTAATTTTGTTTTCCAGAACTACTTTTACTATTTGGGAGCATTTACTCTTGCCCAAGAATTTCAGAACTTCTCATATCCCATAAAATCACCTTGGGATTTCACTGGAATTTCATTCTATGTAACTAATTTACAAATGTGCATCAATATGATAACCTGTTATTCAAATTTTCTTATATATGCTTAAGAAATGTAATATAATTTTATTCAGAAAGTTCTGGCATATCTTTTCTTAGATTAATTCCTATGCACATAGTTGGGGGTTGTGTGGTATTTTTTGTTTTGTTTTGGTCCTACAGATTAAATTTAGGGCCTCACACATACCACTAAGCAACATCTCCATTTTGGTTTTTGTGTCTGTTGTGAATAATGTCTGTGTTTCTATTGGATATTACAAATAATTGTTGCTGGTATATAAGTTAAATATTGTGTCTCTGAATATATATTGTGTATTACCAACCTTACTCTATCGATCTTGGAGTTCTAAAATATTTCATATCTCTTTTTTCCAATGCTTAAAAACATTTTCTTATACTGTTCTGTCCCCCCAAAAAATATCAAGCACAATGCTAACACCAGCCAAAGAAAGTCTTTTCTATTTCTGGTTAGCTAACCAAATCTCATCAAAAACAAGTACTGAATGAATTTTTACTCATTATTTTATATATTTACTTTCATAAAATTATTTCATGGTTTAAAAGTTTGTGTACTAGTATCTATGGACATTTTGTCTTATCGTTACCATTCACTCCAGAGATTTTTTTTTTATTAATCAATTCAAAAGTCTATTTTGGCTTTATGGAACATCTACTTTTTTAATTATGTATTTCATTTGTTTCTGCTTTCATAATTGGTATGTTCTTCTCTTTACTTTACTCTTTTGCCTTTGCCTTGCTTGCTATGTGAAAAACAACTGATTTTAATTTTCTAGCATCAGTATTTAAGTAACTTCTAAATGCTACTGAAACTCAACTCTACAAATTTGACATATAGTGTTTTTCTTGACCTTCAATTTAAATATTTCATATTTCCATCATGAATTTAACAAATAAATCATTTAAATCTTTTCTAGTTTAATGTTTTACCTTTATGATATTTATTATTTCAAGTTTTGTTACTTTATGATACAAAAGTGCTATTTGTGTAATACAGATTCTTTTAAATGTGTTGAGACTTTTTAAATCTAGTTAGTAAACTTGAAAAGAACAATTTTTATAGGTTGGGTTCAGAATTTTAGCCATAGATATACTTATCAGCCCCAAATTATAAGCTATTTCATTTAAATGTGCTCTATTGTTATGTTTTTGCATGATACATTAGTTTCAGAGAAGTACACTTAAATTTACAGCTATATTTGTCTCCTTTTGGTAGTCTGATATTATTTTTCTTTTTAATATTGCACTTATTTCCTTTGAATATTTTGATTATTTATTGTTATAGATAAACAAAATTGGTCTTTACTTTTATATTCTGCCTATATATTGATTCAATAACCATTAATATCCTCGTGAATATTTTTTGGCTTAAATCATACACTAGTATTAATATTGCTGCATCCTATTGCTGCATCCTATTTGTTTTACTTGTTATTTGCCTGAGATTATATATATATATAAAATATATATATGTATATGTATACACACACACACTATATGTATGTGGGTGTATATGTGTGTCTCTGTGTGTGTGTGTATCTTAATATGATATTTTCTTGTTTATTATAAACTGCTGTTATATTTTATCTAAATTCTTCCAATTTAAATTGTGTTTCCTATTTCTCAGGCTTTTTTTTCTGGGATTTCTTTGTCTTCTTTATTGTCTTCTGCTATATTACTTAATTTCTTTGTTTCTTTTGTTTTTCTCGATTTTATTTTATTCATATTTACCATTGTAACATGCATACCATTTAATTTTTCTTTAAAATATCTAAAAATAATTAGTACCTTCTTCCAAGAATAGAAAATAACCTTTTGAGAATCTCCCTTTAGACTATTTTCACGTCTTATATGCTGTTTTATGATAACATTTATAAAAATAAAGTAATTATTTACTTTTTATAGGTAATAATTAGAATTATAAGAATATTAATTCTTCATTATAGTTTGCTTTATTCTTTGCCTTTCCTATTTTGTTTTTTGCACCAATAAAATCTTTTAGTGCTTCTTTAAGTCCTATATGTATACAAATTTTTTTTTCTAAATTTTTTTTGGCTGAAATTAGCTTTAATTCACTCTCAGTCTTAAATACAGTTTAGCTGAATATAAAGTTGACAATTACTTTCCTTCAGTGCTTTAAGGAATCATCCATTTTCTTTAACATTTATTACTGTTGACAAGAATCTACTCAGTAGTTTAACAACTATCACTAAATGAATGTTTATTAATATTTTTCTCTTAACTCATATATGCATTTTAAAACTTGAAAAAAAAACCCTAATATTGTGTCTAACTTTTCCAAGTAATTAGAGAATGTGAAATATCCATCTTGAGGGCAGCTTTGACTCTTTATCTTCTAGTAACAACTTCCTGATTTTGCTCTCCTGCTATTCATCTACCTAGGACACAGGTGATTTATGAAAAGTGAAAACTCTTTGTTGAAGCAGTTATGCAGTAATAATTTATGTAGCAATGGATCTTTTAAGGTAAAAGCAAGAAAGACAACTAAAAAAGACGGTAAGCAGAGAAGAAAAAGAGCAGCAGAATAAAAATGAAAAAAGACAGAGTTAGAAAAATCTCTCAAGTTCTATGAAACTAGCAGTCTCCCCAAATATTCTTATTCTCTAAAAAAATAATAGATCTTCTTTCATACTACTACAAGAGTATTACTTTAGGGAATATACCAAGTTCTGAAGTTTGTACCTGAAAGGTAATCCACAAATAGTTATCCAGCTGCTTATCACAGAGCAAGAAAGAGAGATATGACTCATTTTTTCCCTCTTTCCCACAACCCTGTAGCAATTCAATGCCCGTGGACCTGGGATATGTAGGAATCATTCTTGTTTTGTTGTTTTCTTTTAGGACAGTCTGGAACGAGTATTGGTAAGTTCCTTTCCATTCCTTTAATTCTGAGTGACATTTTAGGGACATTTTCCTAAACTGCCCAATCTTATTCCATTGAAGAACAGAAACTTAAGTTTCACTTTTCTCCATTTTTTAAATTTTACATAACCAGACACTTCAATAAACAGTCAAAAGTACAGAAAGTAAATCAAATTTTCCAATGACTTAAAATAATGGCATATCGGCAAGCAACAGACCCATCTCCAAACCTGCAGTGTGAAAATAGAATAAATAAAGAAGAGAGTAGAGAGCAAGAACAATGAGATGACAATAGAGATAATATAGTGTGAAAGAGAGTGTTACATGTCTCCTGAGAATTTCAAAGTTTTGTATTGCTGAGAGGAAAGTGCAGCCCGCCGCCCAAGGTGGAAATCAGGCTGGCAGCAGTGGATGAGATGCCTAATCCCCCATGTCCCTGAGCTGCAATGACACTCAGTATCTGGTGCTCCCATGATCTACATATTCCCATACTGACTCCACTCCAAAAAAGGGGAAGGAATAAGTAGCTCTTGAGCCACACAACCACAAGTCCTTTATTGTTTGTATTTATTTTTAAGAGAACCAAGGGGGGGGGGGGTAAGTTCCTCTCTTTTTTTCACATTATAATTCTGGTGAGTCACAGAGTTGGGAAACATTCTCCTAAATCTGACAAATTCTTGTTCCTCTTCTTCTCTTATCTATGAGAACTTAGGAAAATAAAAAGGCCACTAATTAACAAAAGTATAGATGATTTAAATGGCTTTAGCCAGCAATACAAGTAATAGCAAAACAATATTATCTTTTTAAACTTAGAAATGAAAGAAAAGAGTGAGCTTTTAATTTGTTCTAATTAGTTACACATGACAGTAGAACACATTTTGAAGCATCATACATAAATGGAGTATAACTTCTCATTCTTCTGGTTATACATGATGTAGAATTGCCCCTGTCATGTAGTCATATATGTACATAGGGTAATAATGCCCAATTCATTCTACTGTCCTTTTCCCATGCTTCCTCCCCTCTCTACAAACCCCTCTTCCTAACCCCAAATAACTCTATTCTTCCCTAGCCACCCCCCCTTATTGTGAATTAACATCCACATACCAGAAAAAACATTCAGCCTTTGATTTGGGGGGAATTGGCTCCTTTCCCTTAGCATGATATTCTTCAGCTTCATCCATTTACTGGTAAATGACATCATTTCATTCTTCCTTAAGGCTAAGTAGTATTCCATTGTGTATATATATATATATATATATATATATATATATATATATATATCACAATTCCTATATCCATTCATCTATTGATGGGCACCTAGGTCGATTCCATAGTTTAGCTTTTGTGAATTGAGCTGCTATAACTCAGTTGTAACTGCTATGGCTAAGACGATGTAACTAGGTTTAGGGTTTACCTGGAAACCAGAATAATTCCCCCAATAATACTGTAGGAATTAGCAATACTGTGAACATAATTAATGCCACTGAATTGTACGCTTGAAATTGATTAAAATGGTAACTTTTATGTATGTATATTTTTACCACAGTAATAAATAAACAAAGTAAACAACAGAGATAAATTAAAAGCAATAAAGAGTCCCAGGTCAGAGAACAGAATAGCAGTATTCTTTACATGATTCTCTGACTGAGAAGAGTCAGGGTAACAAAGGAGAAACTGTACTATAAGGATTAAAAATACAGAATGAGGTAACAGGAAAGCTAAATAGTGCAAAGCAAAAAGGCCACTCAGAGAAGATTATAAAGCAGTCTGCAAACCCAATCCTGGCTCCCCAGATAGAGAAGAATTCACAAAACACAAGATAAACCTGGATATGAAAATAAAGAACCAGCAGTGTAGCCACAGGGAAAAAACTCACCATTCTTGGAAGCTTAAAATTCAGTGTGGGGATCTGATTTGAAAGTGACTCCTCCTGCAGAGTTGACTAGCTTTGGAGAAGAAATTCATCACAGTGTTCACCATATCTCAATGCTAGAACCAGTAGCCATTTAAGAAGGAGGCCCATGGTTTGGGATTGAGTTACTCTGAAGATCAGAAAAATAGATATCAAAAAGGATAGAAAAATCATGGGGGTCTTCTGCTGCAGTGACTGCGTGGGAGATGGCCATGACAGACAGTTGTGGAGAGAAGGAAGGTCAGCCTCAGACCCACTGGGAAGCAATGAGCTCAGGTTGTAGACAGCACGGTAGTTGATGGCACCAACTTCTGTGATGAGGAAGAAGACCCATTGTGTGTGATTTACTGAGGGGACCTAAGTTTGAGAGTGTCAAGACTGAGGGGGACAGATTGGCAGCTTCCCCACTCCAATACTCCGTGGTCTGTTTGCTTCCCTCACTCTCTATGCATTGGGGAATAAACTCTGGCTTAATGTTTGCCACACCCCCATTACAGAGATGGGGACCTCTGTAGTGAATGGGTACCTGCCCAGCCCACATGCTACACAGCTAGCAGTGGCTCCCAGTTCACATTTTTTAAAAAAGCCTCTGCAGTTGTTAAAAACATGGAGCAGGGGTTTACCCTACATAAAGCGTCATGTGGTGGAAGCAAAGAGGAATGACAACAGGGTCTAGTTGCAACTCACTATACACCTCATATAGAGAATCCCAATATTAGAAGACTCAGGAGTTCCTCTAGCCAGGCATGGCATGGGGGCACATGCCTGTAATCCCAGTGGCTCCCCAGCCTCCCCAGGCTGAGGCAGGAGATGGCAAATTCAAAGCCAACCTCAACAATTTAGTGAGATAAAAAAGGGCTGGTAATGTGGCTCAGGGTAAAGTGCCCCTAGGTTCAAACCAAAGGAAGGAAGGAAGGGAGAAAGGGAGGGAGGGAGAGAGGAAAGGAAGGGGGGATGGCCTTCTCTAAGCTAAGCACCTTGGCTAAAAGGAACGTTTTGGACTCATTTCATTGTCATCTTTTTTACTTTTGTCCAGTTTTATTTATTTTGTTTTTTATTCTTTAATGGTGCTTTAAAAAAAATCTCTCACCCTTTCTCCCTCCTCTTTCTCACTTTCTTTTCCTCACCTTAAATCATGCTTTTTTCCTCCTTTTTATTATTTTTTAAATTAATTTTATTAATGTTTATCTTTTTAGTTTATCCTATGATTTTTGTCTTGTCTCTATTTTTATTGGTGATATAGTTGTTGTCTTTAGGCTTCTAGTGTGTTTCTGTATCTGGTTTATCTTTGTGTTGTCATTGTTGTTTGTTTTCTCCTTTTATATGTAGAGAATGAAATGGTTGGAAAAGTACAGCATGTTGATAGATGTTAGCAACAAGGAGGTAAATGTAAAGTCTCATGTGCTTCAAAGACAATAGAATCTCTAAAGGAGGAGACATTGTTTGGAAACAGCAAGGATTACATAGACCTACATTCAGGTTCAGTGGTATAGAGGTGTACAATTTAAAAATATCCATCACTGATGTGGAAGATTGAGGCAGGAGTACTGGGCAAAGTTCAAGGCCAGCCTCAGCAATTTAACCTCAGCATTTGAGTAAAACCCTGTCTCAAAATTTTAGAAAGGACTGGCAATTTAGCTCAGTGTAGAGAACCCTTGGGTTCAGCCCCCACTACCAAAAACTAAACTAAAATAAAGAAAATTAAAAATATCCGTTAGTCAAAGGGCTGAAAAAGTATTTTTAAGTATAGTTATCATTATTTTAATTAACAAAAATTGTACATATTTGTAGTGTACAACATGATGTTTTGATATAGGTAGACATTGTAGAATGGCCAAAGTAATCTAATTAGTATATACATTACCAATGCATGTTTTGTGATGAGAACGTTTTAAGTGTACTCTCATCTAATTTTCAAATATACAACACATTGTGATTAACTATAATCACTGTTGTATAATAGATTTTCTGAATTCACTACTTCTATCCAATTAAAATTTTATATACTTTATCATCATAGGAAATACAGTATTTTTTGAGAGAGAGAGAGAGAGAGAGAGAGAGAGAGAGAGAGAGAGAGAGAATTTTTAATATTTATTTTTAGTTTTCGTTGGACACAATATCTTTATTTTTATGTGGTGTTGTTAATCGAACCCAGTGCTGCGTGCATGCCAGGCAAGCGCACTACCTCTTGAGCCACATCCCCAGCCCCAAAAGACACAGTATTTTTAAAGGACTGTCCAGCCAGTTAAAGCAAGATGGTGAAGAGAACCCGTGAGAGAAATTAAATATGTAGGGGAGTTTACTAAAATGCATTCCAGACAGCACAATGTGTTTTACAGAGTAAATTTCCCATCTGCAGAATGTGTTTCAGAGAATAAGGATTTTAGAGAATAAGGAGAAGTGGAAGGAACATCAGATTAGTAGTTATACCAAGCATTATGATAATAAACATCCTTCAGATGAGGATTATCCTCTGATGGTGAGTAAATTGAATTAAATGAGTCTATGACACATTGGGGTTAAACTCAATGGAAGTTGAACAGTTATTATACAAAGTATTTAGCTGAAAGCTTGATGGGACCAGTAGAAACCTGTTCATCACTAAAGTTCAAGATGATATGTGGCCTGGAAAAATGGGTGAGACATTCCTGAGAGGCCATTCTCACAGGCAGTTCACAGAACTGTGGTAACCTGGGGAAGGGGAACTCAAATTGGGTGCTTCAAGAGCTGATTCTATAACTTGAAAATCCTAAAAAGCCATCACAGAGGCAGAGGGAGCTGTGGTCCATTTCCCCTACAAGTTTATACAAACTAAGACTGCAACTTGAAACAAAGATATGGTAATACACATTCAGCATTATGTTCTAGGCTCTGTCTTAAGAACTTTACCTCTTCATAGCAATCCTATGAAATAGATAGTATAATCCTGTTTTTTAAATGAATAAACAGGCACAAAAAACGTAACAGTCAGAGTGGCACCACTAATAAGCAGAGGAGCAAGGATTCAAACCCTAGAGTGTGATTGCCCATTGTACATAATGAGACCTAATTAGGATTCCCTTTCTAATATAAATTCATTGAGATATATACTTTCTAAAAGTACTAATTCAAAATGATATAAATTTTTGTGATTATTCTCTGTGTCAACTCAAATAGTCATAGTTTCTTTCCAGCTTCTCAATTTAAAAAAAAGAGAAATGAGACTATGCAGGTAAAAAGGAAAAAAAAAAAAACAAGAGTACATTTGGAAACTAAGTAGAATTTAATCAAGACTAAGATCTTCTAAGTTCCTTTAAGAGTTTTGACCTTTGGAAAGGCTGAGAAGAAAAACAAGAGGAAATGGACTTCTCTGTTTACTGCCAGTCCTACATGTCTTTCAGGGCTTTGGCTTTGGGATACTTAAACAGATTGTTATCACACTGCAACTAGCATAGTCAATTTGATGCTCTCTGGTAAAGCAGGTATGAGGGGTTCTTTCTAATCCTTCTCTTCAAAACTCTCATGGTTTCAAGTGGTTGACCTCATTCATTTATAGGTGTGTCCAGTTAGCACAGCTCACAAAGGAATTGAACATGTTCTCTTTTGCTTCTCCACAATAAGCCACTGGTGTTAGGGGGCCTTGTCCTCCCTGTCTGCCTCTTTCTTGGCAGGCCATAATTCTAAAATGTCAGTCTTTTTGCTACATTTAGCAAAACTTATCCTAGATTTGATAAGGCCAAAGGGCCCCCAAGAACACAGGACTTTGTTTTGTGACTTTAGACTCATTGAATCATTAGAGGTTGTGCTGAAAAAATATTATTAATCCCCATCATTTTAGAGAGTAAATACAGTCCCCAAAGATTATAATTATCAAACTCTGCAAAGCCATCTAACAACCAACATAAGACAAATCAAACTCATGTCCAGTCTTTCTCCACTGAATTTAAGAGGGGTTCATTCCATAGTAGCTTGTTTAAATACTATTATTTATTGAAATTAATATTATTAAATGTTATACAAGGCTTGCTTTAGAATTTAGATCATTTTTAAAGAGAAACATTCCAGAGGTGATTAAAAAACAGGAAAAAAATGAGGGAAAGGAAGAGGGGCCATATGTAATAAAGAAGTTAAACCACTTTTTAAAGGAATATTCCAGAAAAAAAGAGAGGGAAAACCTGCAGGGAATATGGAATAAAGTGCACTGAGTTTGGAAAATTAGAAGCTAAAACTGCCTATGCTTCTTTTGCAACCTCTGGCACGGCATGTCCCTCCTTCAGTCTCAGCTGTCTTTACTTTTATAAGATTATAACTTTTCTCATATTGCCTTTATTTTGTTCTTAAAGCTATCACATTGTGGGGAGAAAACTTTCCAACCTGAAAAAAAGAGGGAGATAAAGATGGAAAAAAAAATAAGGGAAGATATGGTGGTGAATGAAATATTGTCAAACTCTACTCACCTGGAAACATTCACTCCAGGATAGTGTCCACCAGGAGGTAGATATGAGACCACCTGCAGGTGTGACATAATGACTTTTCCTACTGAAAAATGTAGGGTCTGATGTATCTATAGTATATATTTTTTGGAAAGACCCTTGGGAAATGGATTGGTCATTTAAACCATTAACTCTGCACTAACTCTTATTTTTTTTCCTTATTGTTCTTTAGTTTCACGTCAAGGATCTACAAGTAAGTTTTTCTTCTAATTTCAAAAATCTGGGTATTATTAGGCTAGGAAAAGGACCTCTTCCTGTCTTATCTGTTTCCTACTATGTCAGGATAAAGGATTTAAAGCTCAATAGTCTCTGCCTTGTCCTTTATTAGACATTCTAACTATATCAGGCTCACCTTTACCATTTTCTCCCTAAAACAATGAGACGCCTCTCCTTACTTAAGCAAATTCTTATACTCATGTCTTTAACCACACCATTCCTACCCTACCTTATCCTCCTTAGTAGTCATCACTTCTACCTTCTGTATCTTTACATTTTCTCTTCATAATTCCTTCTCTTTGAGATCTAAACAGGTTTGATTTTCTTCCATCCCAACAGATCTTCCCTCGACCAGCTCCCTCAATACAGCTCACCCTAAAAGGAGTAAGTCATGCTTCTTCACTCTGGCTGTGGGCTTGGGAAAAAGTTATTGCTCAGCTCTATCTGAACTAAACAATATTTCTCAATGAATTGAAAGTAGTATAATAAGGCCTACTAAAAAAACACTTTCAAAATAAGTTTGTTTATTAACTAAAGTATTTTCAATATACAGAGAACTACTGCCCTAGCAGGGTTAAGCACACAGGTTCTGAGTCAGGCTGCCTGGAGTTACATCTCAACTCCTTACTTAATAGTTGTTTGAACCTAAGCAAGTTATTCAGTCTCTCATTAAGGTTTTTAATCAGTTACATAATCAATGTCACCAACCATTTGAAAACTATTTAAATAGATGGAAGTACAGAGAAGTTAGGGAAGCTGGAAGAAATGAATGGTGAAGGAAGACTGAATGAGGTGGTAAAGTTGAAAAATTCTGAAACTTAATTAATTGTCAGAGCAAAATAAACATATTTTCTAAATAAAGGAAATATTGAAAGAGGAGTTAAGAGCTGAAAAGTAAGGAAATCAGGGATAAATCAGAAATGGATAATCCTGCTTGAACAGTTTCTTTTTTTCTGAGCATGTATGTGAGGTACAAAATTAAATATTGAATATTGTATTTTGGGTTGCATAATATGACTGTACTTCCAAGTAGTACAATTGTTTCAAAGATGGAACTAAATATATTTCATAATTTTCCCTATAAAAGAAACACAATTTACAGATGCTTTTCAACTTAAACAGATTTATTGATCACAAATCTTAATTAAATATGATCCAACTAATACCTAACCTATCCTAAAAACAATGATAGAGATTTCTTGGACCTATTCCACATCAGGCCATAACCCATATGATGCTGATGTCATTCATCTTGCACTGTTGTTGAAGCATGTATGGTTCCCACTTGGATTTCTTCTATCTCAAAGGAGCTCCCAAATTAACCACTGCTAACCCACTCCATCTGCAGATATGCTTCATTTGGCCATCATAGCATTATTTTAAATATTAAATGTTAATGCTTCTTAGGCCATTCACTTTCAAATGACCTACATCCCCACTATCCCTTATAACTAGGAGATTCATAATCCTGAGAACTTCTGAGCCCATAAATACAATCAAGTTTTGATCCCCATGAAAAGGTGCAGAATTTCTTTGTGGTATGGAAAGCATAGTACTCTTTCATTATGGGAAATTATGGCACTGGAAAAAAAAACAAGTGGCACTTGGAGAAAGAGAAGAGCAAGGTTTATTCAGCACAGGTGTGGGCTCAGCAGAGTCCTCTCTGAAAGCTGAGCATAGCCCTTTGTTCTCAGTATCTTTTATGCAGTGCAGACTTCTGGGTTTTAAGACTTTCTCATGCAAGTAGGCTTGATGTCTCCCCCTTTCTCCAGGCAGCTCTGGTTCCTGCCATAGCCTCTGAACAAGCATGATTATAGAAGCAGAAATTACCAGATTATACTTATTAACAGAGATAGAAAGAAACATCTTAGGAAGAAGTTGCTGCTTCACTTTAAAAACACTAATTATGTTCTCATGAAGAATACCCATAGAAACTGTAACCCCAATTCCAAACACACATATTTAGAATTTTGACAAGATGCCTTAAATCTTATTTTTTAATCTGCTTTTCCACACTGAATACCTTTCACTGTCCTCCTCTGTATCACTGAATGTTTCTCTCCACAGCATTTCTGATAGGAATTTTTCCATCTATTAGTACTCATTTTTAATGAAACTTCATAGTATAAGACAGTGAATAGAATTTATATTGTACAGATGAGAAAATTAATGAGCAAAATATTTAGTGTTTTGTCCAAAGTCAGAGCTAGAGAATAGCAATCTGAGACTCAGGTCTTTAACCTCAAAACTATTTGTACTTTATACCTGGGGAGGAGGGAATGGGACTATTTACCCTCCATGTCTACTGAGTTCTAAACTGTAAGATTGTATTTGTCAATTTTTATTATAGCTGAATCAAAAAGTTTAAAAGCAGCTAAACAAGATTTGAGTAAGTTTCCCACATTATAACTCAGTTCTTCTTTTTGGTCTTCTATAAATGCCAACTATTAGAAGGCTGGGGGAGGGTGGTGAAGAGAAAACACATAAATATGGAGGAAAGGAGAAAAACTTACTATTTTACTGTTTTCCCTTTCTTTCCTTTAGCAGCAGGAGGAACTTGCAGCTTCTTTCAAGATCCCCTAAGTTACAAAAAAATTTTTAGCATAGTGGAAACTCTACAATAAAAACTAAATGAATTTACTAAAAGGTATAAGGAAAATGCTGGGGGCTGTATGAAATGGCTTATCCAGATTTAACAAAAGTAAAAATTGAGAACAAGAAAATAACTACAGGATTATAATAAAAAAATACAGATGCCTTCTTGCTGCCTTTCTATGTAAACCTAACATGTACTTGATCTGAAACTCCCTGAAATGAGCATCTTTCAATCATGCTCTCTTTGACTTAATTTTTGTGTTTGTATTTTAGCTGCTACTTCAGAACCCATTGGTAAGTTTTGCTTTTCTGTGCCTTAATCCTTATAGGCTTTGCTTTACCTACATTGTGAGACTGTGTAAGACATTCATATTCCTGGACGTTTTTTATTTCCTCCTAAACAAATTGTCAGTTTTCTCCTTTTTTCATTCTCTGTTCTTATATAAATCAACTGTCAGAAAGATTTTCCCCAAATCTTGAGATTCATCAGCAAAGGGGAAAATGTTAAGAACAAATGTGGTCAAATAAAAGGACGGTTCCTGTTTGAAGTCCCAATAACACTCAGAGGAAGAGCACTGGTGGTAGCCATTCCATTCAAGAATGGAATACAATGGCATCCAGTGAATCACATCTCACAGACTAAGGGTCCCTAAGCTGTCGGTGACAGTTATATGGAATGTGTATGCCCTAAGAATAAACCTGGAAAGAGGGGTCCAGATAGAATGTTAAATGATATTACAAAAAAAATATCTCTGGCAGAAGCACTGGGAGAAAATAGTGAGGGATAGGTGAAAGGCAGTTAATTTGGAAAGAAAAAAAAAGGCAAATGAAAAGTGACATATAAATGGGGGGGAATTCTATCAGCCTTTTATGACCTTATTGCTTAAAGTGTATCTAAGGACTTACATTGACATCACCTTGGATTTATTAGAGATGTAGACTCTCAGCTTAACACTCTTCACTGATATACTAATCAGACTCTTCATTCTATAGATTCTCAGCAAAACAAACAAACAAACAAACAAACTTGAAGATTACAGCTCTTTAAATTTCAACCCTGACCACTTAGAAAGTGAAAGAAAAAGTTAGTGCCCTTTGTTCAAGTTAAGCTAGCTTTTCATCCCTGCAGATACTATACATAGAATAGTAGCCTTAAAGCCAGTGCAAGGTAAAACTAATCAGGGTTTAGTTAATTTTTTAAGATACTTCCATCTATTGTGTCTAAGGATGTTCAGACCTTGAGTCCCTAGGGCAGGGGTAACCTGAAGTTCCAAAGAAAGATTTGAAGGTGAGACTCATGGCATATCACACCCATGTCTATTCTTCTTCTAGTATTTATACATATAAAATATGATTGAAAAATAATTGAGTCAACTTAAAGGCAAACATTGGGGAAATATCACAAAAGCACATATAGCCTATGAGATGTAGAGAACTGTATGTGGATCTAGTGTCCTAATTCCTTTACCTCTATGAATGTTTCGAATGAAACACTATCTAGTAGTTACTATCCCTTCCTATCGAAAGGTACTGCACATTGAGGTACTCCACAGACAAAGACAGGAATTCCCACTGCCTCATTCAAAAGATGAAGCCACAGATTCTACTAAAAAAAAGTTTAAAGTAGCCCAGCTGGAAGAAAAACAATAGCCAGTGCAATCCTGATCCAAACAAGAGAGCCATCATGGAAGGATGCTGACTACTGTATCCCTGCAGCCCCAGCTGTTAGGTTCCAGAAGCAACTAGGGTCCCCCAAAGTGAAGAACGAAACACTTATGAATTTTATTTGTTCTTCCACAAAATGGAAACATTGCTCCTAGTGTCTACATGTTTTATGTTTTCTTAGAAAATATTTCAATGTAAAATACAGGTGTAGAGTACAAATAGTCTTGAGGTTAAAGACCTGAGTCTCAGATTTTCCTATGCTAAAGAACTATTCTAATCAGTTCTGCTTTTTTTTTCCATATTTTAGGTGGAGTTATTGGACCTATAAGTGAGTTCCTCCTCTTTTTCTAATTCTTACATTCTTTGGCCTTAGGATTTAGGCCTATTTCCATTTCTATACCTGATTTCTATTTCTATACCTGATTACATTTCTATATCATGATTTCCCACTCATGTTTCTTGATTATGTTCAAATTTTCTGACATATCCTGATGCCCAAGATATCAGACAAATTGCCCTGAACTGTCACTGAGTTTAAGACAAAGGAAAGACAAGTAATTTATATTTAATTATTTATTTTATTTAATTTTCATTATTTATATTTTATTTTGTTTTTTAATTACTTAAATTACTTATTTAAGATGGGTGTAGAAAAACTTCATATGGTGGGAAGGCTATGAAGTTCCTACTAAAATTATCTGCAAACCTGCATTAATTGTCTCCCTTGGGTTAAGTTTTTTTAGAAAGAATATTGGTTGCATAGAATTTTATTAATGTCAAACCACACTGATTTTCTCCATCACCACCTTTTTTTTATTTCAGTGCAATTCACAGCACCTATCCGTAAGTATCAAGTCTGTTTCTCCGTTTTGGCCCCTTTGATATCTGACCCAGAAGATCTTAAAGCTTGATCTTCTCTGCTTTCTTGACTCCATGTTTCTCAATGTACTTATACTCAGTTTTCAAGAAGCCATGCATTAAGTGAAATAACCACAAATCCCATAGGTCAACATGAAAAAAATAATAAAAATAAGAAAAGTTCCCTCGAGAAGGCAGTCATAATGACCCATCAGCAAGTAAAGGTAAATTTTTTCAAAGAATAAGTCTCTAAATGAGAAAAAAAAGAAAACTGTAGATGAAAAACATGCATTACAAATTAATATGAAATAATTCTTTCTCAACCCTTTAAGCGGTTTCAATCATCACTGAATACAAGGAGAGCCCTCCAATTTTGCATGTCCCCTATATTGTATAATAGGAGGCCTGCCCCAGGCTCATCATACAAGCAATTTTTTATGTCCCCAGAGTTTCCATTAATGGTAGTCCTTCTAGAGTCAGTGTCGGAGAACAGTTATTTCCTCCACAATGGTGAAACAGACATGATGATTTCTCTCTCCCTTTCTTTCTCTCTCCCCCATCCCCCCGACCTCTGCCATCCCCACACTGGTCTCTCCTCTCCCAGCTGGAGCTACAGGACCTATCAGTAAGTTTGCTGACTGATTCTCCACTGGGGAACATTTCAGTTTTCTCCAGTATCTCAGAGATATTTTTCTGGTCTCCACTTTGGGATTTCAAAGGTTTAGAGTCCACATTTTCTTGGACTTTTCGGTGTCTTCTGCCTGGCACTCCAATAAGGCATTATTAGTCTGTGTACATTTCACTGATACACACAAGCTATAAAATAGAAGATGAACGTTTCTAGAAGGTTTCTAATGGCTTACAAACATCACACAATGACATCTAAAAACAGAAATGAGAATAAGTGAAATAATGGGAAAGAGGAAATGAAGTTTATATTGGGAAGAACTTTTCTAATCCCCTACAACAATTAAATGAACCAAGGGATGACTTCTACTTAGTACTGTTGCTACCTACACTGTCCGGGGGTGCATTAGATAGAAAGAGACTGCAATAAAATCTACTATTCAACAGCAGCTGACCTAGAGTTTAGTGGTACAGATCTTACTAAGGAATGCATATAAATGAGAACTATGGTCTCCAGAGCCCGAAAGAACCTACTGATTTTCTTTCTTGTTTTCTTTCTTTCTTGTTTTCTTTTTTCCTTTCAGGACTTTCTCAAAAAACCATTGGTAAGTTGTCTAAATCTCAATTATAATGCCTTTTGGTCTTTTACAATACTTAAATGCCATCTATTTTTATGTCAATGATTTATGCCTGCAGATTCAAAGACCAAGTGCTTCCGGTGCATCATTATCCCACCCAGAAGTCCTGTAGGTTTAACTTGCCCAGGTTCTGCAATAAAAAGATATTAACTATGAAGTTGAAATACAAATTGGAAAAAATGTATGGTCATTCCTGACCTATGCCCACTTAATTGTATAATTTAGCTCTTTAGAGCCAATATGTAATAAAGATCTAGAATATAGCACCTAAACTTTTTGCTTTCCATGCAAATATTTTTTCCATATTAGATTACCTTCACTTTGTAAAATAATGCCAATTTTAAGTTTCCTTTCATTTATAATTTCTCTGATATTCTCTCTTCAGGAATGTGAGGTTCTATTTCACTACTTTTAACAATTTGCCCTATTTTTCCATAGAAGCATAAATAATTGTTAGATTCCAAGATACAATTGTTCATATTTACATGTTTGTAAACTAAGACCTGGCCATGTACAAATAGTTTGTTCCACACACTGCACTATAGTGTTTCTATCATAAATTAAGAATATTTTGAATTATAAAATGAAAGAAATGTGATTTGAGGTTGTTCTATATTCATGTAATAGAATGAATATGAGTCCAATACTTGTCTCATTCTTTAGGTAATTCCTATAATATATTACAGTTTTTCTAATACTCATTTGCATTATTGTGTTTAATCTATGCAACATTCTAAAAACAATGGGTAAGGCAAGTATCATATTTAGTGTGGTTAACAACGAAATTAGGACTGAATTTTACTAATTCTTAGGGTTTTTTCACTATCATTTTTTAGTGTTATAGTGGATTAATAAGAGAATAAAATGAACTTCTAATATTAGAATTCAAAAGAAAAGTGCCTAAGGAAGGAGAAAATGAGGGAATGATCAACATAAAAAGTAAAAGGAAGAGGCTAAAAATGTAAGGAAATAAAAAGAACAAAAGGTGAACAAAAACTGGAAGAAGAAAGTTCAAACAAATTGGTAGATGAGAGAAGGAAAAAGAGTAACTAAATATAAATGAAGTTGAGAAAAGGAAAAAAGGAAAGGGGTAAAGAAGTCACAAATTAAGAATGGAAAGGGGAAAGAAATACATAGAAAAACTGAAGAAACAAAATGGAATTTGAAGTTTTCATCTATCCAAAGATTTAGTGATTTATGTTGATAAAGCAGGCATTCTAAGTTCTATTGAGAACCCAGGGCACATGTTTTTTTTTTTTTTAACAAGTCAACCCAAATATTAAATTACTTTGCAAAACAGTTAAATTTCTAGCTTGTCTACTGCTCATAACTCAGGTTATACAGATCTAGAAAACCATCTTCTAGCTGTTTTTACAGAAAAAAATTCAGTTAAATATTTAAGACTTATGAATCAGACTTGCAATATTTTCCATAATGAGTGTCATTCAGTAAGAAGCCATGGAAAAGAAAGACACTGTGATGCCCTTGGGGGACAGGGATCTTTGTAGATTAACCTTATCATGCAGACCCACAAGTTATTATAGCCCTCATCTGGTACCAATCTCCTCAGTAGGACCTAAGACAGGAGGAACACAGCTTGCCAGCAAGGCAGCATCGACAAAATGTCTTCTATGAGAGTAGTCCTCACAGTGGGAACTATTCTTTTTGACCTCCTGTCAAATAAGTATGAGAGCTCCCTGGGTTAGAAGCCCCATGGGTTCCTTAAAAGCCAAGATCTATTAGAACTCCAGATATATAACACGGAGGGATCCCATAAAGAATGTGCCCAAATATGTGAGCCACTACACTCAAAAAAATCAAAGCTATGGCTTGGCTTCTTAGCAAGCATTTACAGTTCTCCCAATCTGGATGCAATTTGCCAATTAAGGATCATTCTTATATAATGTTGCTAAGTCCTCACAGTCTTCCAATCTTTATCATGTCACCATGGGATCAAAGCTAGAAAATCAACTGAAAGCCAAATTCTCACTAAAAGCTGAAAGTTTTGTTGACCCTTTGCTCACAGATTGTAAAGTAAATGAAACAGTAGTCACCACTTTATTAGTCCCCCAAAAGCTGGAATCTTTGAGAAGAGGGAACTGTGCTTTTACCTTCTACCTTCATATTAGCTAGGGAGAAATAAAGATTTTAGTACAAGGATGGTCCCTTGAGAAATCAGTATCTTCTGTTACTAATAAGTGTCTCCTACATTGACAAGAATCCTACAAAAAACCCCTCACTGCAGGCTAAAATATTGCAGTAAATGCTATGTAACCCTTTTGCTCTATAGCTAATTCAGGTGGATTAGTTCTCTAATAATCTCATAACTGATATCACTTCTTCTTCCCTACACTACCTCCCAAAGCTCCATTCCTAAAATGAAATTAATAAAAATACATTCTTCAAACAAATAACCATACTAATATGCCAAATTGGATTTCTTTTTTAGTGCAAACTCCAGGACCTATTGGTAAGTGTGTGTGTGTGTGTGTGTGTGTGTGTGTGTTTATAAAACACGTGTGTGTTTATAATATATATCTGTGTATGTGTACATGTATGTGTGTATACTCATCCCTGGTGACTTCCTACTATGTATGAAGGAATTTGGTTTCAACCATTTACATTTCTGTGTTAAAGGAGCTAAAAATCATGTTTCTCAGCCTTTCATTTTCCCCGTATTTTGGCCATTTCTCTAAATAACCAATCGTACTTTAGAAAATGAAAATCCAATTGCCTTAAAATTCATAACAGCATACCATTTCTTCTGGTACCAATTGTAATCATGTGTCAATAATCATTAGAAGCCTTCCCAAGCAAAGATTCAATAGAGAGAATCTGGGAGAGGATGTAAGAAATGAGCAAGAAGACAAAATAGAAATAGATGAGAGATAAAGCAAGAATGATATGGGGGTGCGTAGAAAAAGGAATAAAATTAAGAATTTTGCATCTAATACCTATAACTAAAGGTAAAAATGACATCACTATCCTTCAGTCTAACTAAAACAGGGTTACAACTCTCCTATAGGAAGGTTTAGTTCTTATGAAGAGGTTATATACAGCACCAGAACAATAGAAAATAGAATTCTGAATATTCAGATTTAATAATTCCTGGAAAAATGATTTTTTACTGCTCTCCTTTGGAAAATATCAATGGTATATGTGTTTTTATGTTCAACAACCACAGTAGTTTTTTTTTTCTATTTTTAGTACAATATACTGGACCTGGTGGTAAGTCTCTAGTCTATTATTATTTTTTTTTTTTTTTTGCTCTCTGGTATTCTTTGAACTGTTTACAGGGCCTATTCTCTGTCTTAAGTGTGTCTGTTGCCAGAAGAACAGTACGTTTAGACATATTTAATGCATCCTATTTCCACCTGCTGAGAATTCTCCAGAGGAAAAAAAGTAAGATAATTCCCCCAGTAATAGTCGTGATGGCTTCTATAGCAATATAGAATTTTCTAAAGCACTAGAGAAAGATTGATTTATAGTTTTCTAGTTCTGAAATGCTTTGTAGTTTATAAAGGGTCTACTCAGAAATACTAGAGACCATACAGACAAATGACAAAAAGAAAGCACATTTTTAAAAGAAATGTAAAAGGAAGGAAAGACTAAAATTTAAACAGACTTATATTTTGTCAGTTTTCTAAGGCAAGTTTGTGAGGAAATACTACAGAGAGTCCAGTGTGCCCTGATTCCCCAGTCTTTTCCCCAAAGCCTTCCTTCTTCCTCAAGTCCTCTCCTGCCCTCTAGTCCCAAATACCCTTCAACTGGGCACAGAGAAAGAGAGAGACAAAACCCACCTCAGGGAACAGGATATGACAAGAGTTAGACCACAGTTGCAGGAATTGGTAAACCACATCAGGCAATCACAAAACACACGTGGAAAAGAGTAAAGAGAAAGTTCATGTTATGACTAGCTGGGGAAATACCAGGTCAAAATCTAGGATGCTAAAACCACTCACAGAACATGGGAAATTCTGAGTCTAGAAATTGATGGCATTAAGTTTAAGCCAAACAGGAGGAAATTATCAGAAGGCAAATTGGGTATATTCAAGCAAGCATTCCTTCAAATAGCTAAGCTCCTACCAGGTGTTCCTGCTCCTACCAAGTACTAGGCTGATCACTGGGTATAAGGCATGAATCAGAGAAAGAGAGAGAGAAACATGTGGTTGATCTCTGGTGCTGTAAACTGTTCTGCAAGATAATTTAGGAAAACAACCCATAAAGAGGACAAGCAACATCCCTCGCAATCATGACCACTATGACCACTTAAACTGGATATTTCCTGTCCTAAATTCTGGTTCTGGATATCGTTTTGTAAGTGAATAAAACTCATCACTAAGTATTTCTTTAAATCAAGGTCACTGTGTCAGTATTCGTAATTATTCCTGAGATGTAACACCTAAGAAGCTCTCAAAATTCTCATAGGGGCAAAAATGAGCCAGTCTACCTCAAGAGATCTAACAGGGGCTAAAAGGAAGGGTTAACATGTGGCCAGTGTATCCTAAGAGTTACTCTGTGCCAGAGAATCTATATGGGTAAATGGACTACCTCTCCCTTCTTTTCTCCCCAGTTTGACTCCCTTGACCCTATATGGAAACGCTTAAAATATAGTAATACATAAATAAAAATCACATTTCTATTTTTAGTACTTCCAACTTTCCTATGAATTAATAGGTGACTTGGAGAAAGTAAAAAGTAGACTAAATAAAATTCAAAAAATGTAATAAAAATTAATGATTCTACCTAGATGCTCTTCAATGGATGAATGGATTTAAAAACGTGGTATATGTACACAATGGAATATTACCCAACACTAAAAAATAATAAGATCATGGCATTTGTAGGGAAATGGATGGCATTAGAGCAGATTATGGTAAGTGAAGTTAGCCAATCCCAGAAAAACAAATGCCGAATGTCTTCTCTGATATAAGGGGGCTGACTCAAAATGGGGTAGGGAGAAAGAGCATGGGAAGAAGATTACCTCTAGATAGGGATGAAAGGTGGGAGGGAATGGGAGGAAGAAGGGGAATTGCATGGAAGGTGGAAGGAGACCCTCATCGGTAATCAAAATACATGTTTGAAGATGTAAGAAAAAAAAAGAATAGCATCACCTTAGATTGGGTAGAGAGAAGTGATGGGAGGGGAAGGGAGGGGATGGGGTGAAAGGAAGGATAATAGAATAAAAGAGACATCATTATTACTGTGTGTACATATTTGACTGCATGACCAATGTGGTTCTGCAACCTGCACACTCAGAAAAATGAGAAATTATATCCCATCTGATTCAAATATATGATATGTCAAGGTCATTGTACTGTCATGTGTAACTAATTAAATTTTTTTTAAAAATTTAATTTTTTTAAAAAAAAAAAGAGGACTAAAAAAAATTATTGGTTCCTCACAAGCCAAGTAAAGTGGGGTGGGGGGGAATGTTTTCAATGGACTAAAAGTTTAGGTAGAGAGTTCAAAGAAAATGAGAATGATGAAAGTACACAGAAGTACAGGTTTATAAGACATTATTCACCTCCAGAAATATTCCAAGCACTTATCATTCCTCAATAAAGGGAGAAGTATGAATAAAGTCTCACTTTATCACTCTACAGCCATTTCTCCTGTTTCAGACCAACAAAAGCAGAGCTGAGGTTGCAAAGCACAAAGGAGCACACTTAAGCCCAGACACTGAGCTAACAGATAGGATTAAGAGACCCTGCAGCCTTTCTGCAATCACTCTTTTTAAGTCTATCAAATGGATAACAGAGTTGTCTTGGTTCTACAGATACTGATTTCTCCTCTTTATTCTCATCTGTTTTTCCACCAGATTCAAATTCAGGTAAGTTCCATACCTGTTCTTAGATGATGGTTATCTTTGGCTTCCTACAGGGTCTGGGTTCCTTCCCTGTTTCTTTCTTGTCAATGTGGAAATTTACGGTCCTCCATCTCTTTTGCTTATGCCATTATTCTTTGGTGTCTTCCCCCCACAGAGGATGAATGAATTTAGAAGAACACAAATCCCAATGATGAATCCAAAGTATAGTTATCAGAAGAAACTATCCAAAGTTTATAGTGACTTGTCAACAAGAGACGGAAAACACTGGTATTGATGGTTGAAGGTTAAGGAGAAGAAAGGTGTAGGCAGCATAATTTAAAGAAGATACCAATCCCCTGCAGGATTTCAAGCTTTTTTAGTCATTTAAAATAAAAGGGAAGAAATAAATCTCCCTTTCCTGAGAGACTAAGAGGCAATTCCCCCCAAGACATGATTGCCAGGTGTATTCCTCAGCACAACACTCTATGCCCCTGTATTGAGAAAGTTAGTCCCTCCATTGCCATTACTATTCCCTCTCAAAAGATTAGCAGGAAAACTGTCTTTCACCAGCCTTATCCATATTGATTTTTCTCTTTTTTTTTTTCAGGTTCCGAATCCTCTTGTAAGTTTTACTATTTCCCTTCATGATGGAACTCCATCAGAGTTGGATAGATCATGAGCCAAAATTTATCTACCCATGTTAGGATGCAAAGGCTTAAAACTCCAGTTTCTTTGACCCTTTATTTTTTCCATTGCACAGAACTCCACTTTATTATAACCAAGTTTCTAGAATGTTCACTGAAGTACATAAAAACTAAAGATCAGGGGAAAAAAGTTTCTCCATGCTTCTAAAGACTGTGATAGGAACTTTCTATACAGAAGGAAAAAATACATTACAGAAAAATTATACACATAATATTTCTGTTTTCAAGCTAGCTGAGTCATCTGTATAACCAAGTACTAAGTTGTCTGTTTCTCTGCTGTGTACTTATCAAAATCCTTCAGTGTCCATTGGAACTTGAGTTGTAACAAAGGAACTTGAAACTTCTATTATATTAGCCTTTTGCTTTTCCAATATCCAGAATTCTACCAGCTGATTATTAATTTTCTGGAAAATTCAAATCTCTTCAATTAGAAAACCTTTTCAAGCATTTATATCACTAGAAAATTTCCCAATAGAATAAAAAAATAGTAAAAGTGAAAATGTGAAGTAGGTAATAAGAAATCTCTCTGCTTGCTTTTCAGCTGACTCATCTCCTTATGCCACCTGTAAGTCTGTATGTTCAGTTAATTCTCTCCTACAGGTCTTGATTGGCCTCTAGTGGGGTCCAACAGTCTTTGGGGTACAAAGGGATTCAGGTACATCTTGGCCCCTTGATATCTTATTATCAAATGCCATCTGAATCATAAATGATGTACTAGAAAGTTATAACTACTGATTTACAAAAGTATGAAAAGCAAAAAAAAATTACAAAGTTATATATAATAAAATTACAAAGTTATATAAAATGTTATATAGTTATCAACAAAAGACACAAAAAAGAAACAATGATAAGAGACAAAAGAGGAGATGGGAAGTTTGAATAATTGTTTTTTCACTTTAATGCCACGCTTGGTCTGTCCTATATTTGAATTCCAAAATATATGAGGAAAAATTCCCTGATCATATTGGAATTGTAGGAGCTAAAAGTTGCTATTTTCTTAATATCTTTCTTTCAAATTACCCATAATTCTCTCAGATTTTTAATAATTTTATGGAAAAAATAAACTTTATTGACTTATATAAAATATAAAGACCAGAGAGGAAACTTTCTCAGCAGTTTAAAATAATGTTACAAGGAACTTGACAAAATAAAACATAAATTAAACAAAGAAAAAAGATGAAGATAGCAATTTCCTCTGTTCTACTTACCAGCTGGACCAACCCCATCTGCCCTCAGTAAGTCCATTTTTCCAACACTGTGGGGTCCCAAAATATCTCCTTTCCCTGGCAGTGCTAGGATTTCTAGGCTTGGGGTACATTCTATTTTAACCATTTACCTTTCCATTATCAAAATTCCATTGTTACATATGATATACATAGAAACTGATGCAATATATATATGAAAGCTCAAGCTCTGCTGTAAATAAATACGAAAGGGAAACTTTTCCTATTTTTAGAATGACCCACCAAGAAGGAACTCTCTAAATAGAAAGAACAAAAGAGTAGGAAAGAAAAAAGTTGCTAAAATACTTCTTTGTTTTTCAGGTGGTCAATCTTCAACATCCACTGGTAAGTTCTGTTTGTTTTTCTACCATTTTGTGTTGTTGTTGTTGTCTGCAAGACCTAGGCACCTATCTTTTCCATGATCATCTCTAACCTGTGTGCAATAACCTGAGACACGTGACTTCCAATTTCCTTTGCCTTTGCTCATCCACCTGTGAAGGAAGCTTACGTGTACTTAATTTCAAACATATATTTACCTTGAACTTCCTGAAAGTAATATATAGGTGCCTTAATTACATTATCCCCAATTAATCCTTATAGTAAATCCATTAATCTCTTTGTAAAGGATAAGAAATTGAGGAAAAATATTTGCTCTAAATATAGTCATAGACAGTGGAATGAATCTGATCTAACTTTCCTATGCACATATATAAATATGCCATAGTGAATTCATCATCATGTTCATCACAAGACACTAATTTCTAAAAAATAGAAAATCAACTAAATAACATAAATATCAGTAGAGTAGAGGGAGACAGGGAGGGAAAGACTAAGTCTGGGACAGTATTAGAACAAATTTTATTCCATGCTTTTATAATTATGTCAAAATGAATCCTGATGCTATGTATAACTAAAAACATCCAATAAAAAATATACAATCATAGAAACATAATTCAAACACAGCACTGTGTAACTACCAATATTTCCCCATATACAAATATGCCTCCCCAAAAGAACATTCTTCCTTTCGTACAATCACTGATATTTAATTTGGTTTTTTAGGTCCACAATGGGCACCCTTAGGTAAGTATTACATCTGCTTCTCTACTTTGTTTCTCTTTGGTCCTCTTCATTTCACTTCTCTCTGATTCTTATTACCCTACACTGTAAGTTATTTAAGAATCTATACCCTACATTGTAGATAATTTTTAAAAAATATTCTGGTTAAAAGAAGGACTAACCTAGTATTTTTTGACAAAAAAACCTGAAGAATATTATGAAACAATAGAGATAGGCAGAATTTTTGAGATAGATAGATAGATATAAAGTCCACAATGATGTTTAGATGGAGAGAGGCCTTTTCCCTAAAAGATTACAGTCTTATTCGAAGGAAACAGATCCAATGGTCTTTAAAAAATACTATACTACAAAATTATTTAAGTCCAATAAATAAAAAAGGCCCTATAGGAAATCCTACTTTTAACTTCATCATCATATCACTGCTTAATCTTACATCTAAGGTTGAACTGCTACTTATCTATAGGGTTGTTTGGGATGCTTCTTCTAATGCCATCCTAAGTATTCTACCACAAAAAGAAAAAGAACAGTAAAATATATTAGACAATACTATGGTGTTTTCATTTAAGAAAAAATAAATGGACTTCTTTTTGTTTTCTTTTGTTTTGTTTTATTGTAGCAATTTCACAGAGAATCACAAGTAAGTTTTTGGTTCTCAGTTGGTCCTATGTGGAGACTTCTCCTTAGCCTAGATGGTTCTATTTCTGAATGCCAAAATATTGAGATTCATGTTTCTCATATTCATTTATTTGCTTTCATATTACAAAAAGGGCCTCCAGCTTTACTGTAACACCACTATTTTGATTCAAAACTATAGTATTTACCATTATTTCAGTTATTAACCCAATTTTCCAAATGCCAACAGTGATGCAATACTTAAACAAGATCAAACACCAACAATGGAGATATTTAGTATAGAATTTATGAAACCATTCTTAACTAAGACACTATGTCTTAGCTTTTCAGGATGCAAAACTGGTTTTCATACCCAGAATAGAAATGAATTTTAAGCAATCACAATATTCCCGAGGATGCCTCAAATTGACCTTATATCACGTTAATATTAAAACTCAAAGTTACCATCAAGATTAAAAAGTCTGGATGCTGACAGAGCCTAAGCAGTTACTGTAAATGAGTGAGGAGAGGTAAGTATCCTAAAAATAGTGAAGAACTGGGAGGTCAGGTGGTGTCTGAAGAGGTTGCTGCTACTCCACTCCAGCCTATTTCTCCATGAAATAATTCGATCTAGAGTTTCAAAAGTATCTCACTTTATCTAAATTTTGGGTAAAATTTCATATCTGGATCACTCTGAATAGGATTGCAAATATGTTTAAATAACTACCTCTATTTCCATCTAAGTGTATTCTGAATATAATTTTCATAATAATAGCATTTTAATGAGTTCAATGTTATGACAAAGGAATTGGTATTTGAGGGAAGAGAATTGGAGCTGTTAACATAGAATGAGCTAGTGTCCCTCTGAAGTTCCCAAACACAGACCCTTCCTGAGTTCTGAGCAAAGAAACTGTTCAGTTAAGTATTGTCACTATACAGATAAAATTACAGAGTACATTGTTCAGACCCAAGGATGAGGTAGAAACTCCAGATGTTCACGTTTGAGTGCAGGCCCTATAATTGGGAATAGGAGCAAAGGCCCACCTTATGTCAGCATAGGGATTACAGGTCTTGCAGATAGAAATTACAAGGCAGAATCCAAACTGAATGAATAACTATCCTTTTTGACTGAGAAATCAGAGAGGATGGAAGGAAACAGATGTAAAAATCCATTACCTAAGTGGTTGAGAGTCAGAAAAAATGTAGGCCAAAGTAATGGGGACCATGCCACCTTCTTTTTTGCTGGCATAGTCTTGGCTTTTTTTTTTTTTAACAAAACACAGCCAAGCTCAAGCATAAAACTGAAGGGTAGAATGATTTCCAAGATGCAAAACCTGAATTAAAAAAAATACACTGTGAGAAGAAGTTAAAAGTTAAGTTCTTGTTAGAAAAGTTGAAAGGATGAGGAAACTGATGTAGAAACTTCGCCTCAAGAACACAGCTAGAGTTTCAAGACCTGTCCCAAAATGGTAGCCAACACATCAGAGAATTGGAATTACACTGTTCTGAGTGAAGCTGAGAACAGAAAACATATGACCTGAACAAAAATCAAAATATAATCACCTGTCCTCTCAGGAATGAAAACAGAGCTGCCCACACAGAGTTCAGACCTAGATCTTCCCAGAGTACTGAACCCTGCTGGGAGTGTATTTCCATGCAGAGTGCATATTCCAAGTCAAAATAGCTAAGATCTAGTTCAACAATGTGGTGCCAAGGAGCTAGGGCGGCAACAACCATGAAATTCCCCACAAGAAGTAATCTATAGTCAGGGTATCTATATAACAAAACCATCCACAAAGACAACTTCCAAGGAATAAGAAACTGCGAAACATTATGGAATCTATGAAGAAATCCAGTACCATATTAACCACAATTCACACGTCTCAACGAATTAGAAAATTCCAACCCCAAGACAAAATTAAAAATCGTCAATGCTATTAACACTCTGAACCAATATACATATTCTATACCAGTAATTATCCTGAGCACTGGAATATAGCAGGGAACAAGACAAAATCCCTGGGCTCAGGAATTTATGTTTTGAGATTAAAAACAGGCAAATAATAACAAATAAGCATATAATAAATGTCAAATAAATATTCTGAAGAAAAATAAGAAGAGTAACAGATTAAACTAGAAAAATATGATATAGGAAGGGCAAAAAGTTGGCTCCAGACACAAGAATAATGCTCTTGCTATGTAGATATAAAATGGCCAGTCAGATTAGAAAGGAGGCAGAACAATAGCAGATTGGGCCGGAGGTATGAGAGCTATACCATGTAGAACCTTGCAGTCCTTGGTAAAAACTGCAGTTTTATTCTAGGTCTGATGAGACGTAATTGAGGGCTTGAAAAGGGAAGTGATAGGGTCTTCTTTATCATTTTAAAAGATCAGTGTCTATTTCTGGAGTGGATTAAATGGGGTGTAGACTGATGAGGGTAGAGAGGAAGAAGGAAGACCTGGTGAGTAGGGCAAGGAGAAAAGTGGTCAGAAAGGAAGTGGATAGAAGTCTTCAGATTCCATTTATTTTTTTCCTGTGCATATTCCTTTTTAAAATTTTTTATTTGTTATTTTTAGTTATACATGATAGTAGAATGTATTTTGATGTATTATACATAGTTAGATTATAAATTCCCAATCTTGTGGAGTTACACTGGTCATGTAATCATATATGAACATAAGAAAGTTATGTCCAATTTGCTCTACTGTCTTTCTTATTCTCATTCCCCATCCCTTCCCTCCATTCCCCTTTTTATAACTCAGTGAACTTGTATTCTTTCCTCTCCTCAACCCCTTATTGTGTGTTAGCATCCATATATCAGAAAGAACATTCAGCCTTTGTTTTTTGGGGATTGGCCTATTTCACTTAGCATAATGGTCTCCAGTTCCATCCATTTATTGGCAAATGCCATAAAATTTGATTCATCTTTATGGCTGAGTAATGTCCCATTGTGTATTTATGCCACATTTTCTTTATACATTCATCTGTTAAAGGGCATCTATGTTGGTTACATAGCTTGGCTGTTGTGAATTGAGCTGCTATAAACATTGAAGTGGCTGTGTCACTGCACTATGCTGCTTTTAAGTTCTTTGGGTACAAATCAAGAAGTGGGGTAACTGTGTCAAATAGAGGTTCCATTCCAAGATTTCTGAGGTCAGATTCCATTTAGTCAGGGAATAGAGAGAGCTAAGAAGTCTGCTGTTACATTCAATGTGGATTTAAGAGTTATCCAAGGTTTTCTCCTAGATTTGGGGGCCTAAGCAACTAGACAAATGGGATCATTTACTTGATCAAGGAGAAACATGAAAGTTTACAGCTCATGATTAGGGGCTCAGTTTTGCATATATTAAGTTCTAGATACATTGGACATTTATGATTAATTTATTGAATAGTTGAACTTACCAGGCTTCAGTCAATGTTCTGTGACACATCTCTCTTTTCTGTCCATTAACAATGTCTTAGAACCATAATTTTCTAGTCACTTTAAATTATTAAGAACACTAAGCCCCCCTCCTTAAAACATTCTGCTCCCTTAGCAACTATTCTTAGGCTTACTGACTCAGAATAAAGAGAAGGTCCAGTTTTATTCTCTTTCCTTCTCACTCTCCTGTTATAGTTCCAACTGAGTTCAGGCTTAGAGGATGTATCTGGGACATAAAAATTTCCTTTTCTCTTAATTAAGGATCTTTTTTCCTGAGGACTTAAGACTGACTTCCTTTTGATGTCATCCATGGCAGCCACCCAAATATCTGGTGGAATACATGTTTGAGTTCTTTTTTTTTTTTTTGAAGGAATTTACAAGAGCTTAACCAGTTCTGAAATCTCCACTGCAGAAGGCCTCAACACCCTCCCCAACAACATACTTCATAGCCTGCACTATAGAGGTGCCCTTACCAAGTAGGCTACTCATTTGAGTGAGGAACCAGCCTGAAGGCTCAAGCCTGAATGTCTTTACAATGCCCACTTGACCCTTGGAAATCTCAGGTATCCTTGTCACATAAAAAAGGACACTGAGCACTACTATTTCTCCAATTTTATTTTTCTTTTGTTAGATAGGTAAAAAACAAATCAACAAATCCACCAAACAGACATTCAACCAGAGGACTGGTTGCCATATATCCTGTCCCAGAGACATCCCCAATCTTTATAAGCAAATCTGGAAGTTCTCTTTTGCCTTCAGAATATAAAGTACCTCTTCCTCCTTCATACTACTCCTTAGTCAACTACTCACACCTCTAAAGACTGCCTTAAATTTCCTTCTCTTTATAGTCATATCCTTACGTAAGCTCAGAAAAGGGCAATGCTTGGGATAGGAGAACTAATTTGGCCATCAATTGTTAAGGCCCCAAAACAACACCTTGCACAACTCCAAAAATCAAGTTCTACTCAGCACCATATTCCCTATCCAACATACTGTAAATAAAAAAAAAAAACAAATATTTGAGTCTGAAGATTTAAAGAAAAATCAAGTACATAATAGACCTGACAGCAAATAACATTTAAAATCATTAGACTTAATTACATCACCAAAGGTACATATAAAGATAGAGAGCTAAGGATTAGAATAAAAAAAACATCAGTTTTAGACGTTTACAAGTAGGTAAAGATCTAGGGGAAGTACATAGAGAAGAGAGAGCAAGGGGAAGGAAGCTGAATGAGGAAAGGGGTGTCTCATAGAACTCAAGGTAAGAAAGTACTTAAAGATGGAAAGAATAATAAACAAATGTCCTGGTAACTACTAAGAAAATTCTGGATGAAGAGTTGACAATGTATTTTGCAAAATGTAGATCATTAGTAACTTTGATAGGATAAGAGGAAACAAGCTGGGCCTGATGGATCACTCCAATAATCCCAACTTGGAAGCCTTCCACAGAAGGATTACAAGTTTGAGGCCGTCCTCAGCAACTTAATAAGACCTTGTCGCAAAGACTGGGGTGGGGATATAGCTCAGTGGTAGAGCAATTCTGGGTTTAATTCCAAGTACTGAAAGGAAAAATAAAATAAGAGGTAACAAGAGTCTAACT